TACTTTAAATATATTTTCACTTCAGATGGATAAAAATCCTAGATCTAAATGAGATTAACTGAAAATTTATTTAGGTGTTTTTTTTTTTTCTGACAGTTGCTACTTATTAACAATTCTAGTAAAGAGTGGCTCATGCTATTTCAGATAGAGGTTTGTAAGAGTTCTAGTGTGGCTGTAATATTTTCTCATATAAAATGTGCTGCAAATCTCTTTTGAATATGCATGCAAGTTGAATACTTAAATTAAAATGTGGGCAAGAATTAAAAATACTCTGGCTTTTCTGTACTTATATTCTCCTTGCAAAAAATCTGCTTCTAAATTATTTTCGTTAAAGCTTTTATGTCCCTTTATTCCTTGATTAGGGAAGCAATGATTTGAAAAATACAAGATATTGAGGTGTCAAAAGTGTCAGGGAAGCACAGCTTTTAGAAAACACAAGTAAACATTTCAGTGTGATATGCTTAAAATAAATTGCTATGAATGTCTGTGGATATACAAATATTTCTGATCAGCTTAATGGGTCAAACTTCCATATAATTAAAAAGGTGATAAATGTACGCATGCATGATCAAGTTAATAAAAGTCTCTAAACGCATTCTGTGTAAAACAACAATGTGATGCATCTAGTGAGTACTTATCTAAGGCTCGTTGTGAGAAGTGTTGAGTTTGAACACTGCCTTAGGAATTTTCTTTTTCAATATTGAGAAAATTAAACTATTAAAAATTGCTTTTGAAGTATTTTCTTGAAAACCATCAAAAGTGGAAGATCCAGATTTTAGCTTCCAAGTGCAGGTTGTCACCCATGCTTTGAGTTCTGCCTGCTCATGAGTTGTTTCAATCTCCTTCTACACTCGGTGACCTCATTTCCACAGTTCTGCTTTGTATTTTTTATTTTTGTTTATGGCAGACTTTTTACACTATGCCCAGACAATCTGTTTCCATCATTCTTCACATTTTTATTGTTACTTATGTGGGAGAAAATGGACTGAGAAGTTGACAACCAAGCTGAAGCAAGAACAGACATTTCGCCTGGTACTGTTACATCTGGCTTTAGATAAATTTTGCAAGTGAGCAAGTGACTATCAAAGGTATGAGATAATAGAAAGGCTGGATAGCTGGGGTTGAGCACTAAGTCTGAATGCTCTCTTGATGGCAGTTCATTGGAGTTGAATTTAATCTGGCTTTAAAATTCAGATTTATTTCCCTGAAGAACTAAAGCTTGTTTTGTGGTATGACAGACCTTTAGATTTTTTTTTTTTTTCTGCCCTAAACTGTATTTCTCTAATGTGCCAGAGTGTTTTTTTCACATCTGCTTTTTGATGAGGTATCTGATTACATGTTTTGGTTTTGTCCTGTTCTTTGTATGAGTTGGTGAAATTCAGATTTTCTTGTAGATAAGCCTTTGGCCTTTTAGTTGCTTCTGCCTTGCAAATAAATTAATTCCTTCAAGCAAGAGAGTCTGCAGCTCCAGCTGTGACTGTAGATGAATGTTCTCGCAGGGTCATGTACTGTAGCTCTGAACCTAAATAAAAGGATTAACAAGAGTTCACTTGGAGGAAAAACACTTAATTTCACCATAATGACTATGAGAATCCATAGGGAAAACCAATAAAGCTTTACTATTAAAATTGTTAACAAATGATTATTCCACCCTGACCCCCCCTTCCTGCTGTTATTGTACTTTTGGAACAGTAACAAAGGATGGGATTGACCTAGTTCATGGTAGTACTTTAGTCCCTGGCCTACAAATGGTATTTTTCTTGAAAAATAATTCCTAGTCTAGTTCTTTGAGGAGGCAATGATAGTATTTATGAAGGAAACCGTGTTTTCTGATGTGTTTCATACAGTCATCTGCCCCAGGAATTTGCTTGGTGCAAAGGAAGAAGGGGCACCATGTAGATAGTTATGCTGGGACCCAGCCTGACAGCCAGCAACGCTCAGATGGTGCATCTCATTGCTCCAGAAGAGCACGTACATTTTCCACAGCTAGCCCAAACTGCTTTTAATGATTCCTGGCAGAAAAGAAGGGTTTCCAGGGTGACTGTCTTCAGCTGCATGCATAGACCTTATTGTCTTGTCTCCAAGCTGCAACTCTGTCCAGGAGTGGCAGAGAGCAGAGGGGCTGCTGTCAGAAATCAGACAAGACACATCTAATTTTAAAGGTTAAAGCTCAATACTAGCCTGTCTTTTACTTCATTGGGGCTTTGGAGGTGGTCAGTGAGTCCTGGTTGGTAGGTTGGTGACCTTCTTGAAACCCTGGCTAGAAAATGCCACAGCGCCCACCTGGGCTGCCTGCCAGGGCCTCCTGGTGTAGCCAAGGTATGAAGGCTGGTGCATGAGCGGGTGTCTCTGATAATGGTCTGAGGTGCTGCTTGAGCACATACTTAGCACCAAGAACTGGGAAGCATTCTGGGTTGTGTCATGTGTTTTCTCTGTTCCTTATTTTGACTTCAAAGACTTTGCCCCTTTGAGACATGTTTATGTGTGTAGGATGTATTTGCAAAGAAACAGAACTTGTAAAAGGATTCCTCAATCTTCGTTTCATCAAAAGACCACCTAATAGTTTTTTTCAGAGAAAAGAAAAATCTATGGACAGCATTGTGCTGTGTTTCAACAATGGTTTTCGTTTGTAATCAGATGAGAATATACTGAACTTTGAATGTTGACCCACCCTTTTTATTTCTCTCCTGTGGTTTTCTTGCTTGCATGCTCAGGAATGTGCTTTCAATTTGCCCTTGTCATGATATTTTCGTGGACCACCTTCTGAAACTGTAGGGACCACCAGCAGTCCGTGGCTGAGTAGCCGCAGTCTGCATAAATTCCACATGAACATTTGTTCTTTGCTATACCCTTGCTCCAGCACTCTGAGCCAAATGTTTCTGATGGTTTCTTGTTTAATACCTAATGTGGCTTTAATTAGTCATAAATGGCAAGTATCTTCTAAAGGTAGGAACTAATTGCAGTCAGATAAATTAAGCATGCTCTTTTATCAACTTCATTTTATCACTGGTTGGCTTGATTTTTGTGGCTGTATGTTCAGGTAAGCAGCCTGTGCTTTAGAGGTGTTCTCTGTTTTTCCTACATTCTTCAATGATCTCGGCAAAAGAGGTCACCTTGCAGAAATTGCAGAGACTCTGTTGGAAGAGGCTTGAGTTTTAAAAGCATGTTTTGTTCCTGAGTGGCCTGATCTCATTTTAATCTGTCTGGATTTCCAGAAATTTAGTGTTGTAAGGTGAAAATATGAGACCAAAGCCACTACAGGTAATGGTAAAATTGTCATGTCTTCTCTGTTTATGTATATTAGGTCTTTCATTGTTGCATTGATGCATTCACACTAAAGGGATTTAAACATGGATGGGGAACTGCAGTTTAGGATTGCCCCCACCCTTGGAAAAGCCACTTAATACTTGAGTGCACACCAAGTTTTTAAGATGCAATCTGGATAAAGCTAATTTACACTAGTAATTCAAATGTTCTGTATTCTGTAGCTGAAAAATGCTGCTAAGTTGGTCTCCACTTGGAAGGATGAGCTGGGTTCTTTCTGCTTCTTATCTTGTCCAGAGATTGTACTCAACCACGTTTTATACTCTAAGCTACACCCGAGTAACAACTCCTTGACCTGAAACTTTCCTCTCCAATATGTCTGGGCTGTGTCACTGAAGGCTGAGCAGGTTGTGTGGATATGAAGGAAGGTATACGTTAGCCAGGAGAGGCTGTTGTTGCCAGTATAATGCGAGAGTGGTGGGAGCACAACATTTTTTTGGGGTATTGCATATGGATTTTGTAAGCTTAGTCTTATAAGTGAAGTATAGTGAAACATGATTGTAGCCATGTCCTGAGTGGTGCCTTGCTAGCCTTATTTACTGAAGTAGACAGCTGAGCCGTCCATGAAAAGTAACTGTATTGAAGCAGCAGAAACCAGAATGTTCTTCCACGCATTGCAGATTACTAGAAATTGGGTGGGACCTACTGAGAGATTGAATCTCACACCTTAAATTTGATGAAGATAATTTTATAATGTGTATAAGGGAGAAAATGTGTGATATAGGTGTAATTCACAATAAAAAGCGGTGTCCTTTGTAAAAGCAGACCTATTAGTATACTGTTATGAAGAAGTACTTTTCCTGTGTCCTAGAAAGCATATTTGCCCATGAAGTTTACAGTGATATGCTTGCAGACTTGGAAGCTAATTGCAGTGCATGAAATCTGAAAGGTTAATTTGCTAGCTCGCTTACTGCATAGTTACTCTCTGTTAATCAAGCAGATGCATGCAACATTATCAGTGAATGTTTTTGCCAATTTAGTATTTGATTTAGAAAGAGAAGGCTTTGCAGAGGTACGGTATAACTAATGTAAGTTGCAGAGCCTTTTAATGTACTTGTGTTGTGGCTATAAAGTCAAAATGCAGCTCTGAAGAATGCTGTGTCTAGAATTCTAAAACATTCTTTACACCTAGGCACTTCAGAAATACACAGCTTTCCAACTGAAATTGAAAATAAAGGAAAAATGTTAAGACATGACACATTTCACATTTAGCATAGTCATTCTTTCTGTAAAATATAACCATACTTTGGAAATGCTCTTTATTTTCCTGTGAGAACTGAAAAACTTCTCTGTATGTGGTGTGAATTAATATCGAGTGAACCTGTGGCTACATCATAGTTGACAAAATATTAAACCAACTAGGGATGAGTGCTTCTCTTTTGATACTTCTATTTTTACATATCATGTTGATTTTCCCTCCTATAATTAGTCTTGTTAGTAATTGTGTTTCTTGTGGTTCTAGTTCTGCCTCAGATGACTATATCACAACTTCATTTGAATGCATAGAAAACAAGTCTAAATAAAAAATTAGATTAAGGAAGGACTCATCTGAACAAAAAATTCCTTGCAAGTGCAGCATAAAGCTGAACTTTGAAGTAATATTTTTCTACTTGCTGTGGATTTGGTGACTTGTATTTTGTGTGACATGCCTATAATATTTCTTTTTAAACATTTAGGACTTCACCAGGTCTTCTTGTTACATGGTTTCTGAAGCATTATCCTGGGACAGCAGTAATGATTGATGAACACGCTTCGGGTAAGAAATCAAATGCATGCCACTTGGTATGGTTGTTCATTAACTGTCCTCACATTGTTTTAGTTAAGCTTCAATAGTAGCAGTCTGTAACGGTACAGCATCAAAATTCACTGAATATAAAATATAAATCTCTTGTTTGCGTGACTGTCTACATATGTCTCCATAAGTCATTGTGAGCAGGTTTTTGTTTTTCTCCTAGATTTGGTAACTCTGACAACAGATGACGTTGCATGTTAAACTAGGTTTTAATGATCAAAAGGTTATTACAAAATATGGTCTGTCCTTTCTAATTCTTCCATCATCCCACCTGCTCCTGCAGGAATTGCTCCAATCTGGTATAATTTACAGTAGATGGAACTATCTACTCCAGAAGGCTTTACTTCTCTAAACCACACTTGGCCTGCTAAAATATTTTTGATGTTTGCCCCTTAGTAAACATTTTACCGGTTAGTCTGCTGATACTTTGGTAAAAATATCTACTAGGAAGAGGAAAAGAAAACACTTTCTTGTGTGTTTATAGTGAATTCCAGCTGTATCCCACAGGGGAGATGCTGGCTCTCCAGTGATTTCTGTTCTTCTTCCCCTTGTGATCCAATTTCATTCACTCAGATTTTACACTTGGATCTGTAGTGGTCGTGCCTAGTCTGATGCAGGTTTCTACTGTGTCTCCACGTGTCTCAGTTTGTTAAATAGAGACTTTGTAAGATTAATTTTTCTCAATAAATCCACTTCTATCAAAGATCTGAATGTGATGGAAATACAGTAAAAAGACGACGTGTGCCAGGGCATATGTGTTTCTTTGTACAAAGCAGCAAACTCTTTTCCTCAGTCATCTTGTGTACAAGAGTTATCTGATGTTGATAAACTGTAAGATTATTAGTAATACATCATTATCCTATGTAATTGATTAGTATGGTGGGGATAAACAAGCTGCTGCTTTTATAGTCTTTACCCTTGCCACTGTATAAAAGCATTTCCTTAACTTTTGAATTTTATTTCACATTAGCAGTTAAAACTTTAGGTTTGAATATAAGGACAATTTTGGCATTTCTTGAGTGGTTTAGGTAACTTTACTTGTTCTTGAGGCTATGCCAATTCAGGATATTGTTGTTAAATTGTGGATGCCCTTGGAAGTTAACTCAAGCTTGTTAAAGCCTACACAAAGGCAAGCAAATGGGTCTTGATTCAATTCTTGCTCTGTCACAAGCTTCCTGGGAAACTGTGGGCAAATTCTTTAGCCCCCATGTCAGTAGGAGGTAAGTGCCTGCATACTTATATGCTTGCATTTCTGGTAGAGGAGATAGTGTGTCCAGAGCACTGTTTTTGCGCAACTCTGATATGCCCAGGGCTACATCGAGCTTTCTGTGGGTAAGGATCACCTTGTGCTGGTAAGGTAGAGCTGCTAGGCAGCGCTCAGAAGTGAAGGTGGTTACTGCCAAATGTACATTCCAGCTGAAGTAAAAGACTTAGACCTGTATGTAAGTGATGTCTAGATACACGCATGGGCTTTAGTATTTCTGGGCTTCCAGTTGCCATCTTCTTGTTTGCCTTTGTAAGAGTGTTTTGAAGATAAATATGGTGAAGACTGTTCAGGTTGGCACCAGGTGTGTATCTAATACACACACACTGTTAAAGTGGTGTCTTAAGGCAAGGGCACAAAATATATAAATGGATGACCCTGGAGTTTATTTTATGCTCTTACAGCCTGCAAGTTGCAGACTAAACACAGCGAAGGCATCAAAATGTCAGTATATGTCAGATCAAGGGACCAGCTTAAGCCTAGACCTTTAGGGAAGGCATGGTAGCCTCCTGTCCCAGCGAGTGACTGGTAGCTGATGCCAAGAGAGGAGAGCGGAGCAAGCCCAGCATGTGGGTGCTTCCCAGATCAACCTCTTGTGATCTGCAGATGAAGGACCTCTGAGTCAAGTGGTAGCTTCTGCCTCGAGTAGTCTTGGGTGTACTCTCCCCTTCTGTGACTGTCACGTGATGTTTTGAACCCAGGTGAATTTTTAGGCTCTGCAGCTTCATACTGTTCAGAATTCCCCAGCTGAATGCTGGGGGAAGGGAGGGAGGGAGCACTCCCTGAAGGTAGTTTTGAACCTCCTACTTGCTAGCTTGATTTAAGCGAGGCACTAGGACAACATGACGGGAGAATCAGGAGTTGAACTGTGCTCTTTCTGCCCCAGTGGGGTGGTGGGAGAGGATGATGGGATGGGTGCTAAGCTCTAAAGAAGGCATCTTTTTAAGTAGCTAGACTAAAATCTCCCTGAAGTGAAATGAAACTGCAGGGCTTCTGTGGCTCTCCCACCTCTGGTGCCTTCCTAGTGTGTAGGTTTGAGGCAGCTGCTCAGACCTGTCTTGACTTTTTCTTTGAGCTCATTTCTCATGTTTTTTCATAATAATTTGGGCTTGTTTGGCCTTTATGTTCTGTACCTCCTTGAGTTCCAGGAAGCAACAGAGAAGATGCTATGTCTACTGAGCTGTGAGGCAGTTGTCCTGGCCATTTTTTTTCCTGACAGAATTCAAGATTGTATGGAAGAAACCATCATAAGCTTAAAATATCCTGGGGGAACACACTCAGTGGGTTGAGCCTCCCAGCAACCCATTAAAGTATAGGACCATTAATCAGAATTGAACTTTTTTTTTTTTTTCCCCTTTTGTATGTTTAAAACATTGCTTCTGGGTTCCCAGAAATGTTAGGTGGGTTAAAAGGAGAAAAGGAATTACCCAATAGTGCCTTTGCAGTAAAATCATTGCACTGAGGACCTGACTGCACATATTCCAGGTAATGAGCCAAGACTATGGAAGGAAGTGTGAATATTGCATGTGAATATTACTACCTGATTTAGATGGTGTTACAGAAATACACTATGCAATATATACGATGTTAACTATTGTGGTAGAATGGCTGAACTGGAAAAGACTATGGCATTGCTGAGAGTGAGCCTCTCTGAAAAGAGAAAATTTTATACTGTGAATGTTCTAAGTACAGAATACAGAGTACTACACTCTTAAGGGTAAAGGCTTTTAAAATTCTGTAAAAGCAAGCAGAACTAAAACCAACTCTTAGCTAAATCTTAGAGACAGTTCAAAGAGAGTAACTTAATTATACTGATTCTCCTTATTGGCAGAGAATATCTGGGAGACAGAATTTATGCAGCTGGGTAAAAGTTGGGCTGAATTTTGCTCTTCATTTTTGTTTTTCCTCAAAACACCGTAGAGATTTTGAATTTAATATCTGTTACTGATTACAGAACCAGCTTAACATAGTACACTTATTTCCATCCTGTCTGTCTTCATTTTCCATTCTGCACCTACGTTTGGGGCAGAAGGTGATAAGGCAGCTCTGACAAAGGATTGCTGCGATGTGGAATGCCTTCAGCTGAATCCTTAGGAGCTACAAGGAAAATTGGATGTAGCATATCATTTAAGACTTTGTCAGTTGAAGATGACTCCACTGTGTTTGTTCTGATGGTTTATGGAAAAGCACGTAAAAGACCGCCAAGACAGCTTTCTCACTTACAGGAAACTGTTGGGTGCCTTGTTCCTCAGGTCTTCAGAAAATGGGCAAAGGTTTTCCTCTGGATCCCTCCTGGGAGGCTGATGGACACTGAACTTACCTGTGGTGCAAAACAACCAGCTATTTAATGGAGAACCAGGAGGAGAAACCTCAACTAAAAAAGCTTAGCAATACTAGAACTGGGGGTGAACTGTTTGCTCACTGTTTCAAGCCTTCAGAAAGAGGTGGTGGTGGGGAGACGAGCGTATCTGCTGCTTTGCTTGCCTCTGCAGCAAGGAGTGGCTGAGAAAAATGTGTTGTGGTTGTTGGGAAGGGGAAAAAGTGAGTTGGCCAATTTGATTAGACTAAAGAGAATAAGGTTTATCCACAGATCATCTTGGATGCATGTGAATATATGGAGGTGGATTGTTTCTTGCCAGAGACTTCTATAAAATTGAAAAAACAGAGCAGTTGTTTTTTTCTGTAGCAGGATATAACTAGATTGTAAACTTTGGCAGGACTCTTAACATCTGAATGCTTCTTGAAACTCTGACAATGTCTTTGTAAAACTGATTCTGGAACTGGAATAAATGAGAGTTTTATATATTCTTCCTCATGTTAATTAGGTGAAACAGTAAGTTTTGTATTTGTTCAGAAAGAGGTCAAAGCAAACAAGAAATTGAGAATAGAGGAGCCAAACAAGGGTAAGTAATGAGCCAGTTTCTTGAAACTGGCAACGACATACCAAGAGTTTGGAAAAAGTACGCTTGTGAGCTTCCTTTATTATTATAACCTCTTGAACAGCATAATCCAGTCCAAACAGCTATAAACGCTTTCCAATAGAGAAGTTTATGACCTAGTTTCTGACTGAAACACAGTATCACAGTGTGTGGAAAGAACTTAAGGAAGATGGTGGTGGTGGTGCCTCTAGAGTGTTGTATTAGAAACTCGGTGTGTTTAGGCATTCCTGCCCTTTGCAAATACTTGCTGAGTGGAGTCAAGTGGAGTGAACTTGAAACATTGGGGATTTTTTTCAGGAGACATAGACATTTAAATGGTTCGGTTGGCAAGCAGAATTTTCATAGGATGTCTGAATTTTTTTAACAGAGCACTGTTTGGAAAAATAATTGTTCTAGGATTATTTCAACAGGAATTCAGCAATTACAGGATGCCTTTCTAGATCCTGTGTTCCTTTAGAGCAGTAAAAGGAAAATAAAAAAAAAGTGCATTAAGTCTGGCAAGGAGAACTTTGATTAGGCTCCATGTGACTTATGGCCCTCCTGTGAGGAGCAGGGCAAGGAGTTGAGTAGAATGTGCTGGAAGGGGGTGGGAATGAAAATATTTAACTTGTGATTTGAACATCACATGCTCTTAAATTGGAGAAATATTTCTCTTTGATACCTCCTGCAAGGTTATGCAGAAGCAGAAGAGGCTGCGTTTCGATTAGCTGCCCTGGTGAGAGTCTGGCTGACAGGGCACTTCTGGGGTGGGGAGAAAGCAA